ATTCAAGGAGTGACAATGACTCCATCGCTGGCTTTGAAGATGGCAGATGTGGCACATGACAAGGGATGCAGGCAGCCTTGAGGGGCAGAGAGTGGCCCCAGGCTGGCAGCAGGCAAGGAAGGGGGACCTTAGAGTCACAGCTGCAAGGAATCCTGCCGTTGTTGGCAGGAGCTGGGAAGTAGATTGTTTCCTACATTCTCCAGACAAGAGCCCAGCCTGACCAGTATGTCGATTTCAGCTGTGAGTGGAGAACCCATTGAGTCCACAAGGACTTCTGATCTGTGATTGTGAGATACACAGTGGGTGTTGCCTTAAGTCTCCGAGTTTGTGGGAATCTGTCACACAGGAAGGAAAACTAATAAAATCAGTTTCACACCATGATGCAGCTGACTTTCCTTCTGCTGGATGTTTCTAGATTCAGTTCCTTTCCTAATAAAACTCCTAAAAGGGTTATTTTTCCCCCTAGAAGGTGGAATCATCATGTTCTGGATGCTTCTGAGCTGGGCTCTTACCATCCCCAATCCTGTGGCCTGCAGTGGGAGCCTTCTCAATTTCAAAAAGTTTCAAAGAGATGAAGCTAGGGGAATGTCGGGGTGTTGTAGGTGAGGAAAGCAGAGATGAGGCCCATGGCTCTCAGTGGGGGCTCATCTCTCTGGGGAAAGGGTTGCCTGGGGTCTTGAGGGACTCTGCGTGCTCTCCACGCTGTGCTGTGGACCCTTTCAGTAGATATTGCTGCATTAAGTCCCGGACCAGAGGCACTGGCTCAGGTGCCCAGGAATGACCCCTGAGATGACTTGAAATGACAGGAAGATCCAGGGCCGCCAAAAGCTGCCTGAGTGCCTTGGATGTACGATGTGGAACCCCAGCTTGGAATCTGAAAAAGGGGTGTGAGGGAGGGATCTGATCCTGAGGACCAATAGTTAATCCCACAGAAGCACGAACTCTCTAGCTACTCCAGAGAAAGTGACATCACTTTCAAAGCTTTCAACTCTCTGTTCTAAGCCCATCCATCACCAACAGCTCTGGGACACTGATTGCCATGTGGGGGCTGTGTGTGTGATGCAGCATGTGTGACACACATGAGGACGTCTTTCTACCTGGACTCTTTCACACCTCAAAGCCCGACTACTTCCCCCCACCCCTGCCCCCAGACCCAATCAGGAAGAGCTAACAGCATTGAAAGTAAGTCTCTGAAGGTCTTCCCTTTGCTTGCCTCCCTTTATCCATAAAACACCCGGAACCCTACTTCCTGCCTTTGTTGATGAGAACCATTCATTTCTGGAACCAATCAGTTATTTCTGCTTTAACAGGCTGGTGTCTTTTGTTGCTGGGAAAACACCAATCATCTTAACTCCATCTTTTTCTTCTTTTTTTGGAACACTAGCTCCTGCATCTGGGAACTGCATCTTGGGCTTCTTTCTGTGGCTCCAGGGTCCAGGGTGGGCATGCCCAGGGGCTGGAGAGGACTGAGGTTCTGTCTGTGACCACCACTTGGTGACCCCCTCCAAGGGGAAGCCCTCTCACTCAGGCTCAGAAGAATCGCTGGCCTTCTGGATTGGCTCCACCCCTTTCTGTGGGTTTGGGAAGGAGTCCGTGGATCTGTGGCTTTGCTTGCAATCAAGAAATCTGCCTAGACCCACAGAATTTCTTCTGCCCCAGGGCTGGGCCCCTTTTGAAACCTGAAAAATGCAAGTGGTCCCAAAGTGAGTTATACACACATGCATAAACCCATGTGGGTTAGGATAAGCTTGTGTTTGATCACAGGACTTCTAAGTGTGACTCTTCATGATTTCTCATTTCAGTCAAGCAGGAAACTTGACACTCCAAGATGGAGGAGCCAGGAATGAGAGGGGAAGGGAGGAAGGGAGGGGTCCTCTGCCTCTCTGGCAAGGGCCTGGGGCAGGGCTGAGGCACCCTCCACCCCCGCAGCCTCCCAGGAAGTGTTTGCAGCTCTTAGAGGCTGAACCTCTCAACCACCACCTCACAGACATGGCAGAAGATGGTGGTGGGGGTGGGGATGGTATGAGGGGTTGCAGTAATTGTCTGTCTGGCACCCTTTCCTGCCTCCCAGGACACAGCCCAGGAGGCTCAAAGATGAGGGCCATATGCTTTGCCCACAGCCTTGTTTCTGGGGGCCCTGACACCTCTGTCCAGTGAGAGGTTCTACCCCTCCTGCTCTGAGCACCACCCCCAGAACTCACCAATCCTGGGTTTGGAGAAGACCTCTGTCCTCCTGAAACCCAGGCCCCCTAAAACCGAGTTCCCCGACGAGTTCATGATTAACCTCTCTATCCAAAACTGTATTCCCTTTTCTGTCCCATCCCTATTCTCCTCAGGACTGAGGAGGATCAGAGAAAGGGGGGTGGGGTGGGGACTGAAACCAAACAGGACCCTTTCGGAGCCCCTCCGTGTTCCCCGTTTCTTCTTTGTAGGAAAAAAATATCAGTCGCGTGAACCTTCCCCAAGCTCCAAAGAGCAGGCTCAAGCAGTTAGTAATCAGGAACAGTCACAGGATGCGGGGTCCTCCTAAAGGGACTCCTAAAACGACATCACCCATCTCTTCGAGTTGCTCTGCAGAAGCTAAGACTCCCAGCAGGTGGAGGATGGTGACTCCATGCTGACCATGAGCACGCAGACCTCGGACTGGCTGGAACCCAGAGGTCAATGACTGAGATGCCCAAAGCATCACGTGACCTCACCACCACTGTTAGCAGGAGACCCATGAGCTGGTGAGGCACCTATGACCCTCTCCCCTACACTGTCTTTAAAATCTCTTGTCTGAAAGTCATCAGGGTCTTTGGGTTTTCTGAGTAAGAGCTGCCTGTTCTCCTTGTTTGGTCCCCTGCAAGTACACCCCAACTTTGCTGCCAACACCTGCTATTGGAGCTTGGCTTTCCGCCCTGTCAGGACAGGAGCCCTTGCTCTGTTACACTCCCTTCCCAGAGAGAAGGCCCTTTGGCGGGGCCAGCCAGCTCCCCTCCCCTTCCCATTCCTTCCCCTGTGAAGCAGATGATGGTCACAGGGAGGCTTGGGGACAGGGCCAGTTGGCCATATTCCCCAGACCTCCATTTTTGGGTGTTTTCTGAGGTGGGGGAGCAAGTCACAGAGGCTCTGGTGGGAGGCCTGGAGGGTGGAGGGGAGCACCAGCCACGCGGAAGCTCCCACGAGCTTCCTGCCCCGCCCACTCCCCTCATCCACAGCACAGCTGCCCCTCCCTCCCTGGACCCTCCTGCCGCGCCTCCGGCTCCTGGGCCAAGTGCGGGTGCTCAGCTCTGTAATCTAGGTCAGGCCTCTGCAGACGCCCATCCCTCCAGGCTTGGAGGCCACGAGAACTACTGTGGGTTTCTGTCAACCCTCGTGAGCCCAGCTTGTGGCCGTGGGTTCCACGTCACATCTGTGTTTCCTTCCCAACTACTCCCTGGTCCTGGGGCTTCAAGCTCCAGCATCACCCAGGAAGACAGCATGTTTGCAGAGACCACTGAATGGGCGCCCACCCCGCCTGAGGTCAGATCCCGGGGACAAAGCCACTGCTGTCCGTCTGTCTGTCTGCATCTCCCTCCAGCTGGTTCTGCTCCTCTGACTGTGCATGGACTCTACAGGTGGGATTACTGATGGGCATGACCTCACGGGGCGGGACCCCAGGTCCTCGAAAGTGTTTGGCTCATGCTGAAGTAGTGGTTCTCAAACTTGGAGCTTGTACCTGGAGACCTTGTTATTTACAAGACACAGAGGGCTTCGCCCCACCCCCCAAGTTTCTGATTCTCAGGTCTGGAATGGGGCCTGAGAGTCTTTCTAGTAAACTCCTAGGGGATTTTGATGTTGCTGTCAAGTGGAGAACACAAAGGTGAGAGGCCCATGACCGCTGCCCCCAGCAGGATCTGGAGATGGGGCATTTCAGAAGACTCCCCTGGAGACAGTGGTCTCTCCTGTGGGGCCTATTAGATCACAGGGAGGAGCCATGTTGAGGCTGCCTCCTCAGGTGCCCCAGAGGGAAAACAGCACTTGCCTCTGCCTCCTGGGAGGCAACCTGGCCAGGAGGGAGACCAGCTGGGGACGAGTAGGCCCAACGTGACTCCTGACCCTGTCATCTGGAACCAGTGTCCGTGGGCAACTGTCTCGTTTGGTAATGCAGGGCTGATAGGGCTGAGAATGTCCCATGGTTTTCACTAGGATGATACACCTGAAATATATGTTCAATGAATGCTGCTTTTTCGGTCCAGACTCTGACCTGCCTTTTGCTCTTGTTGACTGAGAACAGTGCTGCTGAGTTTTTGACCATAAGTACAAGGCTTCATGGGCTTCCCAGGTGGCTCAGTGGGCAAAGAATCCACCTACAATGCAGCAGGTGCGGGTTCGATCCCTGGGTCAGGAAAGTCCCCTGGAGGAGGGCATGGCAACCCACTCCAGCATTCTTGCCTGGAAAAACCCACGGACAGAAGAGTCTGGTGGGCTACAATCCATGGGGTCACAAAGGCCGGACATGACTAAGCGCACATGCCATGAGGCTTCCCATTCACCTCCATTCAGTCCAGTTTTGCTGGTTTGAAGCCATCTTTCCAGCCTAAGATGCTAAGATGCCATCACCTGGAACCCTGCCTGCTACTCCTACATCAGTGTGGCTGACACCATACTGCAGGTCTTGGGCTCCAGTGGGGACAGGGGGAGGGCAGGGCTTCCTCCTGAGGTCAGGGAAGAAACAGTTCCTAACTCATCCCTTTGCTGCTCTGACCCGGAAAGCTGACTTCAGGTTTCCAGTGAGTTTCTGCACTCCAACTAGAAACACCAACTTAAGAAAAAAATTGAGATAGCAGAGAAGAAGGGGTCTATGTCCTCACTCCACTGTGTGTGGCCATATGGATCCTTCCTGTGTAAATAGCAAAGCCTAGGAGACATCAAAGCTGAGCAGCCTAAGTGACCAGCTTCCAGAAGGAGCGCTCTGGGGGGTTCTGCCCCCAGTGTACCCTCTTCCCCATGAATAAACCACCAAAAAGAGAGAGAACTTAGGAACAAAGTTCTTATAGCGTTTAATGTCTTCAGGGATGGGATGGGCTGAGGCCTGATGTGAAAAACAGGGATTTTACCAGCAAAAAGGCACGAAAGTGGGTGGGGGGTTACATCCCGGGGGCTGGACTGGGCTGACTGGATGGCAAAGTCACCAGCAACTTCCTCCCTCCCTTCTCCGTCTTGGAACGTTCTGGAAACACGGCTGCTCTTCAAACCCGGATTTGCGGTAGCTCCTTCTTCTTCACCTCTGCCCAGATGTCTGACAGGTCCTGGATAAACTGCTGGATCTAGTGAGGCCAAAGGACTGCAGTCAATCCCAAGCTGCTGACAGGCCACCCATCCAAAAACATCTGGGCATAGCCTGCTGGTAAGGAGTCACCATTTTCTGTGACTGAGGTCACTTTCCCTCATTTGATAATTATTTTAGTTGACGTGGAGAATCAGGCTTAGCAGACTAGAGGTAATGAAGAGGGATGGAGGTGGGGACCCCTAGAGGCAGACGCAGTGAGAGGATGAAGTTCAGGCTGACCGTCTCACAGGGAGACGGGGAGGCTCCAGAGCGGACTCTGGGGATAGAAGCGTCAGCAGAAAGGAGTCAGCCAGGGTCGGGGCCTCTCCACTAGTTAACAGCCTTCAGGCAGGTCAATTTACTTGAATTCCAGAACAGAGGCTCATTACGATAATCCTGAGTCATCAAGGGAAATTTCAATTCTATTCACTAACTTTAGTTGTAAAGAACATGCAATCATGGAGATAGGAGGGAGGTTCAAGAAAGAGGGACATGTGTATACCTATGGCTGATTTATGGTGATATATGGCAGGAACCAACACAATATTGTAAAGCAATTATCCTCTAATTAAAAATAAATTTTTAAAAACAATATTAAAAAAGGAACATGCAATCAGTATGATACAGTGGAAAGAGCACAGCCTCATAATTTAGAAGACCTGTGGCTCTGCATCAATAGATGAATAGATAAAGAAAATATGATATATGTGTGTATATACATATGGATACACACACACTGAAATATTACTCAGCCATAACAAAGAATGAAATAATTCCATTTGTAGCGACACAGATGGACCTAGAAATCATCATACTAAGTGAAGTTGAAGACATATATGATTATCACTTATATGTGGAATCTAAAAATAGTACAAATGAACTTATTTACAAAATAGAAACAGACTCACAGACATATAAAACCAACTTATGGTACCAAAGGGGAAGGGGGGAGGGATAGGGAGTATGGATTAACTGATGCACACTACCATATGTTAAACAGAGAAACAACAAGGACTTACTATTGATACATAGCCCAGGGAACTATATTCAATATCTTAAATTATTATAATTGAAAAGAATTTGGAAAAAATAATATGGATATATGTATTTATCCATTCATATACACACACAACAGTCACTTTGCTGTACACTTGAAACTAATAACTCAATACTGTAAATCAATTAACTTCAATTTAAAAAACAGAAAAGATGACTTGGGGTCCTGACACAACTCTGAGAAAATCACTTCATCATTCTGGGACTCGATTTCTTTATCTTTAAAAAGGAAAGAGGAAGAAAAGGTTGGACTGGATGGCCTCTTAGATCTCAGTCCGACAGTTTCTCCTTTTCAAGAGTGTTTCAAAAGACAGGGCTATACACTGTCCAAAACTCTCAACAACCTGCTAGTTGCTAACACTATTACGATTACCAACATAATTCCTATTTTGCAAAAGAGGAAACAAAGAATTAGAATAACTTTCCCAAGGTTACAGAGATGCCAAGTGCAGTATTTCCCAAACTATGTTCTTATAGTAAGTCATCACACCCCCAAAACAGATTCTGTGGGCAAGCAAATTGTATAAACCTGATCAGCTTGGAGTCTCAGGACAGAGCCACAGCAAAGGCACTGTGAAGTTCTGCATTTTAAAACCAGCAAACTTCGTTTAACTTTGTCTTCCAAATGTTTTTAGTTCACGTTCTGTGTTGTGCTAAGTTGCTTCAGTTGTATCCGACTCTTTGCGACCCCATGGACTGTAACCCATTAGGCTCCTCTGTCCATGGGATTCGCCAAGCAAGAATACTGGAGTGGGTTGCCATGCCCTCCTCCTCCAGAGGAATCTTACTGACCCAGGGATCGAACCCTTGGCAGGCAGGTTCTTAACCACTAGCACCACCTGGGAAGCCCCGTTTTAGTCCATCGAGTCCATTTATTTCTCTGGAGGAAACTTAATCACCTTGGGATTCTAGGATTTGCCAAGCACAGTTTGGATTTTATTCAGAGATGATAATGCTGGACCTTGCACAGACAGTGAGCAGAATGCAAACTGTCTTGGCCTTTTGCAAAATCACTTTCCCTGAGTGGTACCCTGCTCCCAGTCCTAGATGGGTGACTCCCTTCTGAAGCCCACAGTAGGGCTGCTACTGAGAACATAATTTACTGAATGTCTCTGAAGCCTCTGAAAATTTTCAGCTAGAAATTAGGTGCTGGGAAAGGATCTCTCTCTCTAAGGAAACCTTATGTTTTCTTATTTTGGTTCAAGAACGGTGTGGTGCTTTTCCTCTGGTTACAAGGCAGCTCAGAGCCAACGTCCGTCCCTGTTGAACTGCTGTCCTTTATAATCCAAGAACTGAGAGCTCATACATCTCTCTCTTGCCTTGACCTTAGATTTTAACTTATATTTACTATAAATGTAACATGTATTATTTATAATACTATTTATATATTTACCTTATATAAAGTTTCAACTTATTACAATATTTTCCTAGGTCTTCATTTTCCATTTTTCAGGCTACTCAATCACGTATATGTGTCAGTAAGCTCATATCCTACAGGAATCAAGTGGGATATTTAAAAATAACATTTGGGCAATATGAGGAATTCCTGTGGAGGCAAGTCAAGGTTGAGAACAGGAATTCCCTGGTGGTCCAGAGGTTAGGACTTGGTGCTTTCACTGCCTGGGGCCCAGGTTTGATCCCAGGTTCGATCCTTGGTTATGAAATTAAGATCCCAAAGGCCATGCAGCATGCCCAGGTCGAGGGCTGGGGGGGGCAGGGACAACAAATGGTTGAGGGAGTCTGAAAGCTCAGAATTTGGAGTGGATGGACTGGAAGCTACTGTCCGAACAGGGGGTGCTTGGGCAGGGGCCATGGGCTGGAGATCACCACCTCCTGCCCTATCTTTCTTTACAACAGCTAAAGGGGAGGGGCCTGAGGACACCTCAAGTCCTGAGACCCTACAGCTGGGAAGAGGGGCCTGCAAGGCCAAAACTCTTTCTACAATAATGCTAAGGTGTTACCTGTCTTTTGTTACTTCTGCTACTTGTCTTTTCTCTGGTGAGTCTACATGGACTTTTACCCGAGTGGGATGTTCCCATCACAGAGGCTATCGTGACAGGCTGGATACAGAAGCAGGTATGAGAATCCACCTGTCCACCAGGAAGCAGCATTTCAGGGATTTGCAAAGTGTCGAAATGCCACCCATCCCACAAAATACTTTTTGAAAAAGTATTTTTCATTAAAAATGCTATTTATGGGACTTTCCTGGAGGTCCAGTGGCTAAGAATCCGCGTTCAAGTGCAGGGAACGTGAATTTGATCCCTGATCAGGGAACAAAGATCCCACATGCAAAGTGGGGCAACTAAACCTATGTGCCACAACTACAGTGCCCATGCACTCTGCAGCCCTCATGCCAAGATCCCACATGCCGCAACTAAGACCCAAGGCAGCCATAAATAAATGAATAAATAAATCTATTTCTTAAATATGCTATTTGTGTTAACATGTTTCTTACTGTCATTTTAAATGAATTAAATAGTTTTATTTTTTCTGCTTGAGTTTCTCATAAGGTAAATATCAACTGACATAACCCATATAAACAAAAGCTCTTTGGGAGTCTTCAACAAATTTTATGAATGTAAAGGTATCCCGCTACCGAAAAAAGTTTGAGGATCACTGTTTCACAACAAACTTTCTTACAAACTCCCTTTATAGTCTTTGGACTGTTAATATGAATAATTCTGTTCTAACATGCCTTATGATGCAGGCTGATTCTTTAGTTTAAGGAAATTCTGCTGGTCAGTGGGTGAAATTCTTTACATTTCATGAATTTCAGGTTGCTGGGGGTTTTTTGTTTTTTTTTCTGGCTGTGCTGTGAGGCTTGCAAGATCTCAGTTCCCTGCTCAGGGGAACAGAACACAGATCCCCTGCAGTGGAAGTGCAGAGTCCTAACAGCTGGACCCCCAGGGAATTCCCATCTTTTCTCTTTAAAAACAAACAAACAAAAAAAACAGACAAAAAAAAAAAAAACAGACGAAGCACCTCTCAGTCAATTGCTTTCGTTGGCTTGTGTTTCGTATTCATTCACTGAATACTTACTGAGTGCCTACTATCTGCCTGGCATAGTTCCAGAGGCCTGGGATACAACAGAGAACAAATCAAACAGAAATTCCAGCCTTTAGGAGCCTATTTTCCACTGTTTCACGGCAGAGCTAAAGGCTAAAAGGATATGCCAAAGGGATAAATAATTAGTCATGGTTCTCCGCACGTCACAAGAAGCACAGTGCAGAGTTTCCCAAGTTAAGGGATGCGCTTTCCTTTGGTCAGAACTGAGATTATTCCAGGGGGTACACAGACATGGCATCAGACAGGGTTGCATCATATACAGTGAGGACGTTACTTCCTTTTCAGTTTCCTTTCAATCACTTCAGAGAAAAATCTCAGAATGGTGCTAACATGACTGATACTGTTGCCCCTGTAGATGTTCTCTTTTCCCCAAGGATGGGACCCAGTCACAGGCCTTCAGCATCTCACTAGAACTTAGTAAGACTGTTGTGCAGCAGCTAATGAATTCAGTAATGGGTTCCTCTACAGACCTATTGATGGGGCCAACAGAATCTTAGCACTAAAGTAGTGGTTCTCAAAGTGTGGAATCCAGACCAGCACTATCACCCAGAAACTTGCAGAAAATGAAAATTCATGATTTCTCATCTCAGATCTACCGAGTCCAACACTCTGGGGCTGGGTTCAGCAACAAGCCCGAGTTCCCAGGCAATTCTGAAAACTTGAGAACCACTGCTCTGTAGCCGTCACGCCTCTCAACTCATGAAGAACCATCATGGCTACTTCCAGCCGCCTGCCAGGCACTTGGGCCCCTCTTACCATGTCCAGCTGCTTGTGTGTGTCCTCCAGGGACACGAAGGTCGCCTCCTTCAGCTGTTTGCTCACGATCTGGAAGAGGTTCAGCGTTGCCATCTTAATGGTGCCAAGCAAGAGGGTCTTCTTGGCAGCGGTGTTCTGGATGTGTGCCCAGCGAGATTCCTGGGGAGGGGAGTAAGAGTGGGGTGTGAGCGCCAAGGGTGGGTGTGTATGTGTTGTTGTGTGCGTCCCTTACCCGTGTTTGTATCTGTGTGTGTCCTGGTGTGTGTCCCTTACCCGTGTGTGCTGGGGTGTGTGTGTCCCTTACCCGTGTTGTGTGTGTGTGCTGAGGTGTGTGTGTGTGTGTATACCTTGCCCGCCTGCCTGTGTGTGCGTGTCTATGTCTGTGTGTGTGTCTGTGTCCCCCGCCGCCCGGCACTCACCCAGATGATGACGTCGCTGCGGGCACGGTCGAAGCGCATCTGCAGACGCGCCAGCTCGTTGTTGTGCTGCAGGATCTCGTCATCCTTTTCCTCTTTGTAGCGTGCCAGCCGCGCCTTGGCACGCTCAATCTTCTCCTGGCCCTCCTGCGCCGACTGCATGAGGTCGTGGTGCATGCTCACCAGTGTCTTGTAGCGCGCGATCACCTCGTGGATCTCCTCAAACTGCCCGAGGGGGGCGGGATAGTGGGGGGGATTGGGGGCTCAGGTCACTGCACCTCCCCCCGGGGGGGCCCGACTCCACTCTGCGCGCCCCAACTCCCACCCTCTGCACCTCTGCCTGGCAGGGAGGCCCTGGGCTAAGTCAAGGGCCAGAGGCTGTAAAGCCCTCGGAGTCTCCCCGGCGCCCCCTCCCACCACCGAGTTGGTATGGGCCGTGGGTCACGTGGTGTGGGTCGCGGAACCCGGTCCTGTGTCGGGAGCATGGGAGCATGTGCACCTGGCCCAGCAGGCTCTCTGGCTTGGCTGTACTTTATTGGAATCACCTGCGAGCTTCAACGAGGCCACGTGCCAGGCTCCACCCTCAGATACCCAGAAGAATAAACCGGTCTGAAGGGTCCCCATATGATTCTAGGGTTGAGCATTGCCGGGCGGGGGCGGGGTAGACTTTGCGATGTCTGATGTCTCGGATGGCAATCAAGAGCCTATTCAGCAAGAATGCATGACGAACCACTTAGTAGCCAGGAAGTGTGCTAAACGCTAGGGACAGAGCAGGAGATAAGACAGCCAGACACTGCTTTTAGGAAGCCTAACCACATGCGGTGGCGCGGTAGGACACACAGACAAGTAAATAATTACGAAACAGAGTGATAAGCCTTATCGGTGACTGGGGGATGGGGCCGCGGGAGAGTGTTAGGTAGTATCTTCCACCTGGTGCTCTCGTATTTGTTCAGCAATGGCTGAGGCCTCCCTCCGGTGGGGGCTGGAGAGGGTGGGTTACCAGAGGGGCGGGGGCCCGGCCAGGCTCAGTCACCCTCCCCCCCCACCCCAACACGGCTCTGACCCTAACTAAGCAGAACAAAGCCTTGCGACCTTCCCTCTCTGCAAGGCGCTGTGAGCACCAGTTTCAGGATGCCAACTCATGTCTGGGGGATTTATCGACACATGCCTTCCAGCCACCCAGGGGACACTCCCTGAGTGCTCTCTCCATCTCATGACATTTCCAGCAATAGACTGGTGTTCCGGGAACTGGCCTTTCCCCCAAACACTTCCTCTGTGGGCAAGAGCCACTTAACTCAGTATTAGAGGAGATAGGGACTGCCGAAGAGGCTTCTTCTGGGATAGGATGGTTGAAAAATGAGACCAGAGGTATGAAGAGAAGATGGCCAGGCAAAGGCAGGTGAGGAAGCCGTACGGGTACACAGAACAGCCTGGATAAAGATGATGAGGTGTGTGTGGCATATTCAGGATGAGCAAGAGAGTTTAGTAGGGATGGCCTGAGTTCAAGATGGGGAGAGAGAGATCACCCTGGAGAAGTTAACAAAAAGGGGCTTAGTAAACCCTGAGGAGTGTGGATTGCATCCATTGGAGAAGTGAGCAGAGAGATAACTTCCAGTCTATATTTCTAAGAGGTGTAACAATATATAACAGTTAAAAAAAGAATTGGCTAGGAAGTTGGGAGGGAGGTAAAAGAGAGGGGCCATATGTACACCTATAGCTAATTCATGTTGATGTATGGCAGAAATCAAACCAATATTGTAAAGCATTTATCCTTCAATTAAAAATAAATAGATTTAATTTAAAAAGTGGGCTACATCAGAGCAACCAGGAGCACCTCTCCTAAACTTAACACCAATTTCTAAAGCACTCAGAAACCAACTTGAAGAGGCTCCCATTATCTAGTGATGGGACCCTTTGAACATCAGTAAGAATAAATTCAAAGGATTGAAACATATCAAATATGTTAAAAACCCATGAGTTTGCAATAATACTAACAACATTACAGGGCACTTGTCAAGGATGGTGGAGAACCAACTCATTATTCTGAAGACTCAAAGAGTCAAGCATTTAACAAGCTTTTTCTTTATGGCCAATATAGTTACCAAGTAGTTTGAAGGGAAGATTCTCTTTCTGAAGTCCTTTTTTTTTCTTCCTACGTTTTGGCCATGCGACACAGCACGTGGGATCTTAATTCCCTAACCAGGGACTCCCTGTGGCCCCTTCAGTGTAAGCACAGCATCTTAACCACTGGAATTCCAGGGAAGCCTCTATGAAGTCCTTTTCTTGATGGTATTCATAGTATTCTAGCTAATAACTGAAGAAGGGAGCTCAGAACATTCTGAGCGCCTTAGAAGGGTCTTTGGCCCCCTTTCAGTCAGTATTGCCCCCCACCACTACCAAGAAAACCAGAATTGTGACTTCTACCCCCAGAGATTCATTTTACCTGTTTTTAAACATATCAATCACAGACCCAATGGAGATGAGTTTGAGTAAACTCCAGGAGTTGGTGATGGACACGACTGAGCGACTGAACTGAACTGAACTGAAAAATTTCAGTGGGATCATACAGTATGTCTGGCTTCTTTTGATCAGCATAATAATGTCTGGAACACCTGATAAACACCCCAACCAAACCCGGAGTGGGGACCTTGTTTGGACCCTGATTGGACAAACCAGCTGTACAAAAAGTATTTGTACAATATCAGGAAATTTTGACGTCAGCTGGATACGGGTTCATGGGATTGCAGAGTTGGACACAACTAAGCTACTGAGCAAGCACACACACACATGATACAGGTATTGTGGATACATTAAAAAGAGCTCTTTTAGAGTTATATACTGAAATACTTATGGATTAAAAAAAATATCATTTGCTTCAAAATAGCAGAGATGGGGATCTGAGAGTAAGTTGATAATTGTTGGAATTAGGTGATGAGTAATGGGCATTCAGTAGACTATTTTCTTTACTTTTGTATGTTTGAAATTTCCCATGACACAAAACTTTTTAAAAAAAATCATTGATTGGAAAAAAGAAGCCATAAAAGGACATGTACATACTATTCATAGCTTATGGATAATGTATTCTGTTGCCAAAAATAATAACAACAAGCTTGATGGGAATTCCCTGTGGTCCAGTGGTTAGGACTTGATGCTTTTACTTCAGGGGCCTGGGTTTGATCCCTGGTTGGGGAGCTAAGATCATGCAACCTGTATGGCGTGGCCAAAAAAAAAAAAAAGGAAGGGGGGACAAATAGGAAAAAAATAATTCCAATTTGATAAAGCTGTGATGAATACTTAGGTGTTTATATATTTTGTATATATTTTGTATACTTTTCAGTATGCTTTAAATATTTTGAAAGAAATAAAGGAAGAAAGAGAAAAAGAAAGATTTTGACTATGCTGGATGCAGAATGCTGGACAGAAATAACGCAGAGCTGGACTCCTAAGAAATACATCTGGTGGTCTGAATGAGGAAGGGGCAAGGGCTGGATTCCAGAAATACTTAGGAGAATAGACCAGATCTGCTGATTGATGGCTGCGGTGATTGAGGGAGGAGGAGTCAAAGGTGAGGCCTGGGTTCTGGTGAGGCTGTGGGTGGGTGGTCATGCCATTCACCAGCAACGGACCCACCAGCAGCAGGGCTGGCCTGGGAATGGCAAGAAGCAGTTACAGACTCGGTGAATTAGATGTAGGGGCCTGAGCTTGGGAGGTCGATATGGGCCAGCAAGATCCAGACCAGTCTGCTTGGTCCTAAGACACATTTTACCAGCTCTACCAGCTCTAAATCTGAGTCATGTCTTGTAATCTATCTACTGCTTTAATGTAGTAGTCTTCCCTCACCCCCGCAACCCCCGAAAAACCAATTGTCAAATGAACTATTTCTCATACAGTAGGCAGTACCTTCGAATGCAGGAGATAACACAGATTTGGGGCTCATGCATAAATAAACTAGGTTAGTGGTCCTATATGGAAATTGCCAGGACTTCTAAAAGAGCTGTGTGTGCTTTGTCTCTCTGAACCCCCCACAGGACATGGACTTGGACTCACACCCCAAAAGGCACACCTCATACCTCGTTCCATCCTGGTGAGGGGCCCTGCTGCTGTCACATGTGGGCGTGGAGGACACAGGTGGATGGCTGTCAACATGGGCCCAGGGAATCAGGGAGAAAAGTGGAGGGTCTGGGACAAAGACCCAAGGGACTTAAGGAAGAGGAGCCCCAGAGGAGCCTGAGGAGGAAGGACCAGAAGGTAGGAGGAAGAGGGAGGAGCCCCATAGGAAAGGGCACGGGAATATTCCAGAAAGGAGCATCAACAGGGTCAAATGCCGCAGGAAGTGTGGGTGGGCAGAGAGCTGGGAAGTCCCCTTAGCTCTGGCAACAAGGCGACTTGACAGAAAGCAGTGGTCAGTGGCCTACAGAGAGGGACTTAGAAACAAAGGCTCTACTACCTACAAGCTGTGTATCCCCGAGCAGGTTCCGTAACCTCTCTGAGCCTCCGATTCCTCCTCATTTTAACAGGGTGAGATGATGGCTTTCCTCTGGGGCCTAGCGAGCAGACTGAGCAAGCTTCCGCTTGCAGCATGCAGCCCAGGGCCCAGCATATGCCAAGTGCCCAGCTCTGCATGAGGCTGGTGTGTCCAGTCTCTTTCTGTCCCTCTCCCCATGTACTCTCAAAGTAGACCAAAAACACCAGAGAGGAGGGGAAGCAGGGACAGTGTGGACCACATCAGACAGAGGCAGGCAGAGCTGGTGGCTGGTGCTCCAAAACAGAACCTCGAACCTGTGACCCATACAGACAGGCCCACAGACGTCATGCACACAAAGATGCACAACCAGGCCCCCACCCTTGAGAAACGAGTCCAGTCTCACCAGGGCCCTCTGCCAGCTGCCCTCCTTGGCTGGAGACCTCTCCCCAGAACATAGGGTCCCCAGCCCAGGCCCCTGGGGACGAGGCGGAAGGGCTGCGGAAGCCCGCCCCCTCCCCGGCCCCAGCCCTCTGCACACCTCGGAGTTCTCCACCACCTTCTCCAGGTACTTGTTGAAGATGGAGTACTCCTGCAGCTTGGCGCTCAGCCGCTGGTGCTCCAGGCGCAGGACCGCCATCTCCTGCTTGGCCTTGGCCAGCTCGCGCATGCGCTGCCTCTTGAGTTCTCGCTCCTTGTTGGCCTTCTTTAGGGCCCGGATCCGTTTCTGGTCATTCTCCTGGGGCCAGGGAGGTGGTGCCAGTCAGGCACGGGCCCTGCCCGCCCTGGGGCCTAGGCTGGTGAGGCCCCCACGAAGCTTCTGTCCACCCTGAGAATGGACAGGGGTGGCCGGGCTGCCCGAGAGGGGGTGAGGTGTAAGGAGAAGCACGTCTCAGGGTTATGTGAGGCTGGTTGAGGAGGTTTCTGTGATTGTCTCAGAGTGGACTCCAGTGCCTGGAGGGGTGGGGTGACCTGGGGGCACCATTCACCGCTGTATCTCCAGGTGTCTGGCCCTGAGTGTGGCATGTTGATTCATTCATCATTCCCTATTCACTCATTCACTGGATAAACTGTCCATACCAACATCTATTTCTGGTTTATTGACTTTGCCAAAGCCTTTGTGTGGATCACAATAAACTGTGGAAAATTCAGAAAGATATGGGAATACCAGACCACCTGACTTGCCTCTTGAGACACCTGTATGCCGGTCAGGAAGCAACAGTTAGAACTGGACATGGAACAACAGACTGGTTCCAAATAGGAAAAGGAGTATGTCAAGGCTGTATATTGTCACCCTGCTTATTTAACTTATATGCAGAGTACATCATGAGAAATGCTGGGCTGGAAGAAGCACAAGCTGGAATCAAGATTGCCGGGAGAAATATCAATAACCTCAGATATGCAGATGACACCACCCTTATGGCAGAAAGTGAAGAAGAACTAAAGAGCCTCTTGATGAAAGTGAAAGAGGAGAGTGAAAAAGTTGGCTTAAAGCTCAACATTCAGAAAACTAAGATCATGGCATCTGGTCCCATCACTTCATGGGAAATAGATGGGGAAACAGTGGAAACAGTGTCAGACTTTATTTTTGGGGGCTCCAAAATCACTGCAGATGGTGATTGCAGCCATGAAATTAAAAGACGCTTACTCCTTGGAAGGAAAGTTATGACCAACCTAGACAGCATATTAAAAAGCAGAGACATTACTTTGCCAACAAAGGTCCGTCTAGTCAAGGCTATGGTTTTTCCAGTGGTCATGTATGGATGTGAGAGTTGGACTGTAAAGAAAGCTGAGCACCGAAGAATTGATGCTTTTGAACTGTGGTGTTGGAGAAGACTCTTGAGAGTCCCTTGGACTGCAAGGAGATCCAACCAGTCCATCCTAAAGGAGATCAGTCCTGGGTGTTCATTGGAAGGACTGATGCTGAAGCTGAAACTCCAATACTTTGGCCACCTCATGCGAAGAGTTGACTCATTGGAAAAGACCCTGATGCTGGGAGGGATTGGGGGCAGGAGGAGAAGGGGACGACAGAGGATGAGATGGCTGGATGGCATCACCGACTCAATGGACATGAGTTTGGGTAAACTCCGGGAGTTGGTGATGGACAAGGAGGCCTGGCGTGCGGCGATTCATGGGGTCGCAAAGAGTGGGGCACGACTGAGCGACTGAACTGAACCAACAATAGGCAAGGAAATGGGAAATAGCAACCCAGAGGAGTGGAGACTGACAAGCAGGAAATGACAAACAGCGCAAGAGGAGGGGGCCACAAAGGGGGAAGCTCCAGGCATTGGTGAGCACCCAGGAGACCTCCCACCCAGGGTGAGGCGTCAACAGAATCCAGGAGAAGGCAGGGGTGGGGAAGTGGGGGAGGAGGGACAACTGCAGAGTGCGGTCCCAGGCTGCAGCAGGCCTCGCCCCTCGGTACCTGGATGAACTGCTCAAACTTCTGTATGTGAGCTTTCAGCTGGGCCTCCTTGATGCCCAATTCCTCCCAGCGCAGGTTCAGGGTTTCCATTCTGCGCTGAAACGTCTAGGGGTGGGGGGCAGCAGGGAGGGCCCCTGAGTTGGAACCAGGGAAGGCTCCAGCATCCCCTGTCCCAGAGCCCTGTCCCAGGTGCCCGGTTTCCACTCCACATCTGGTTCAGAGCAGAACATCCCAGGACTCTTGGACCCTGAGACTCAGATCTCTCCTGTGCTCCGCCGAGGAAACACTGAACCATCACCAGGATGCCTGATTCTAGCCACCACCACCCACAAAATGGAGGGCTGTCCTCAGGCTCTCCCTGGGAAGGGGTGGGCCCTTCCCATCCCTCACCCTGAGCCGCCCACCTCCTTCTTCTGCTCCATGGCATGGTGCATGATCTTGGCCTCCTTCTTCTTCTCCAGTAGCCGGACAGATGGAGAGTCCGACTGGTCCTCAGTACTGGGGAACTTCCTGCCCAAGACACAGGCAAGAAGGATGGTGGACGCTGAGCCCCGGGGCAGGCCGAGGCTGGGAGGAACCCGTGGAGACAGGCACCCGTGGGGAGGGAAAGCACTCATCTGAGCGAAAGGACTGGTGTGCTGAGAGGGAGAGGAGGCTGTGCTGGGGCCAGGGAATGGGTGCGATCGGTGCCTGGGAGGTTTGGGGTGCTGGGGGACATGCGGGCCCTCCAACACTCACTGTAGCAGCTGCAGCAGCCGCTCCCCATACTGCAGCCGGAAGTACTCGGCCAGGTCCTCCTCCTCCATGATGCCCAGACTCATGGCGGTGGTGAGCTAACGGCCCAGTGGCCGAGTCTTCGCAGTGAAGCGGGGGTGGTGCAGCTCAGGGGTGGTGACTGGGCTTGCTTCTCCCCTCCTCCTGCTCTTGAGGATCCCACAAAGGGCGGGTGTCTGAGAGACGCAGGAAAGACGGCTGGAGGCTGCCGATGTGCAGTTCAGGATGTGCTGGGAAGGGGCTGGGAGACCTGATTACCTAGCAACAGGTCTCCGGGTTCTGTGAACCACAGACAGAACCCAGGCTTTGCCCTCTGACCCCTGTCCCCACTGACCCCACTTGCTGGGGTCTGACTCTGCCCCTGCATTTACTCCTCCAGGAGCTCTGGGAAGAAGTTAGGCATGATTTGATGCTGGTGTTCAGGGTCGGGACGCAAGGGCTGGGCATCCATGGCTGATTAGGGTGGGAGTTTGGTAGAGGTGAGTTTATGCAGGGCAGCCTTGCCCCTGGGGCCTCCCAGCTGGGCTTGTGTGTGTGTGTGTGTGTGTGTGTGTGTGTGTGTGTGTGAGAGAGAGAGAGAGAGAGAGAGAGAGAGGCGGGGCTGGGACTGAGACAGATGGTTAAGAAAAGAACTGAAGGGAAGTACTGGGTTGAGGCAGGGATGGGGGTGGACAGAGAAGCATAGGGCTTGGAGGAGGCTTGAAGTTGAGAGCGGAGCGATGGGGGAAGAACGTGCAGGGGCGTGTGTGTTGAGGGGTGGGTGGGGGTTGAAGGGTGGGCTAGGGGATGAGGGAGATGGGCAAGAAGTCTGGGGACTACAGAGGCTGCCCCCTGGAGAGATGGAGGAAGCCTTGGAGGAGGCCCCCTTGAAGGGTAAGATACTCGGGGCCAATGTCCTATCTTGAGGTTGGCAAAATATGAAGAAATGCCAACATGCTTTGACATAAATGTCAGATAGTGTACATATCTGCTTCATGACGCCTGCCTTCCTTGATTCCATCACGGGATGGTGCGTCAGCTCATTTGCCCCGAGGGCCCCCTCTAAAATCTGAGACCCTGTGTGTGAGGCGGACACCCTGGGGTCCCCGCCCAGAAGTAACGGCTGTGACCTCGAGCCCGCCGCTGAAGGCCACAGGCTCCCGTGATTCGTCCGGTTCCCTCTGCTTCCCCACCCCTCGCCGGTCGCGCGGCCGGGGTGCCCTACACGTCTGGGACGCGGAGCCCGGGTGGGACCAGGGTCTCGAGCGGGGCGGCGAGTCCACTCCGCGGCATTGACGGTCCTCTGGCGCCCCCTGCTGGCCGCCCGAGCCCGCCCTCAATCCTGGCCGGGGTCGCGGGTGGGGGGTCGGGGGAAGGGGAGGAGACGTGGTGGAGGGCGCAGCCCACCCCGCCCTCTCCTGTTTTCAACCCCCAGCCTCCCCCACTGAGCCAGCATGACAGCCCCCACCCCACCCAGAACACACACACCTAAGCCCCTCCACCGGAGATGGTTCTCCACCGGGAACTACCCCAAGAAACAGCCAGCAGGGTAACAAGGGCTCCAGTGAGAATTTCAAGTGCCTTGAAGGAGTATGTTTCTCTCCTTAATCCCTAGAGTCTGGCACAGTCAATCGGGGGTTTTCCTCCTTTCCCCCCTCGAGGGTATGTAATGCCAGTCCTTGAGGAGGAGGTTCTCCGTTTCTCGAATCACTTGCTGCCATGGTATATTGACACATCCTTAGTTACATCTATGATTTGGGCGGTCCAGGGCCAGACTGGTGCATATAGGCAGCTGCTAATGCATCATATCCTGCCGTGAACATGCCTGTGTAGCTCTTTCTGCCGCTTCTGTACCTTGCTTGGAAGTTGTGAGACTCTTCATCCCCCCATCACCCACCACCATCCCTTTCTGGGGTCTTGCCACCTTTCCCCAAGATGTGGATGGAGATGCAGTGCTCTCTGGGGTTCACAGAAATCTGCACTCTCTCTGACTCCCCTCTTCTTCCCTCCCTGGGTGAGCCCAGCTTTCTTACCACCCCCTCACTCTCCACTTTTCCATCTTAATATTTGCCTCTGAGGCATCTAGGAAAATCTGATGGATTTAGGTGGTTAGAAACAAATTTAGGCATAATATTTTCTGTTTTCTGTTCTGTTCCATCCTCCCTCTGAGACAATGATCTTTTTGAAAAGGGAGAGGGGGAAAATATCTGGAGGAAAAAATATCTAGTTTAAAGTCTCAAAAAATATTAATATTATCCTGCCATATAGAGCAGTATAGTGCTATTAATAGGTGCTCACAGACTACTGGTTGTGAGGAACCACTTTATTTCTGTTATATTCCATTCTCTGTGTGTCTTATATTCCATATAAGTGGATTCATGCAAATAAACTATATTAAAAATGTTTCAAAATGGATGCTATGGAAACTCTTTGCACTGTCAACTATATGATGATATTGATGTTAGTTGCTATAACAAACATCCTCAAGTCTCAATAGCTTACCAAGGTCCAGTGTGGATTCTCCTTGTCAGGTGGATCTTTTGGGAGATTCTCTCCTAAGCAGTGAAGGGTCTAAGCCCCTTCCATCTTGCAGGTCCATGATCTCCAAGGTCACTATGGAAGGGAAAGAGAGAAAGCAAAGCAAAGGCACTTCTGTTCTTAACAAACTCATTGCCATGTCCATTCACTGACCTCTGGTGGGAACCAGTCATGTGGCTGGTTATGTCGCAAGAGGCTGCTGATGTGGTTTAACTGTGTTCTCAGGGGCATCAAACCAGTTTGTGCTGTATTTCTTTTGAGAATTAAAAGAATGGTTGGAAGTAAGCAGAAAGAGCTTTATAAACTAATTGTAAACAAAGAAGAAAAACAGGCCAGTCACAATCTCAAGAATGAAAATACCTGCACTTGAAACTAATACAATACTGTACATCAACTATACTTCAATAAAAATCAAAAATTAAAAACATTATCAACTTTAGTATGACATTAAAAGAACAATTCACCAGGGCCACGAATACAAAAAAGGTTTAATATTAGGAAGTCTATGAATAAAGTTAATTCGATCAATATGCCTCAGGAGAAAAAGACATGATTGTTGGGATATATGCCAAGATGGCATTGAAAAATTCAATATCCATCCTGATTTTTAAAAATTCCAAATTATTAGTATACAAAGACACTGTATCTCCTTGATAAAAAATACCTGAACCCAACAGATAACATTAAAACTTGCATTAAAGACATTCTTGTTGGGGCTTCCCTTGGTGGCTCAGTGGTAAAGAATCTGCCTGCCAATGCAGGGGACTCAGGTTGGGTCCCTGGTCCAAGAAGATTCCACCTGCCAAGGAGCAACTAAGCCCATGCTCCACAGCTGCTGAGCCTGTGCGCTGCAGCTCCTGAAGACCGGGTGGCTAGAGCCTGTGCTCCACAGGAGAGGCCGCCGCAGTGGAAGCTGGCATACTGCGAGCAGGAGTAGCCCCCCGCTGGAACAACTAGAGGAAAGCCCACACGGCAACGAAGACCAAGCACAGACAAAAATAAAATTTTAATTAAAAAAATTAAATTCACAGACTTAAAAAACACCTTTTTTGCACTTTTGCCCAAACAAAACAGGTTGAAACACATATCTGGAGGTCTGTTGAACCCATAGAGCCCCTTTTTGTTGAACCCTTTTTGTTGAACCCATAGAACCCCTTGACACAATGAATCAGAATAGAAAGCCTAGAAATAGATCCGAGCTTATGTAAGTATGCATTGTATGCTCATGTGGCATTCAGCCGGTGGAGAAAATGTGGATTACTCAACACACGGTGCTGGGAGAACTAGCTAAGTATTTGGAAAAAAAGAAAAATATATACAAATTTATTTTTAAAATAAGAATTTTATATATTTAAGGAGTATAACCTGAAGAGTTGATACATATCGACCTAGTGAAATGACAACCACAGTCAACCACAAGTTAACATCGATAACTCACATAGGTACCATTTTTTTGTGTCTGGACCGGAAATCTACTCTCTTGGCAAATTTCCAGCATTTAGTACAGTATTATGAACTATAGGCACCAGCTGTATTCTAGATCTCTATTCTTATTCATCCCATGTAACTGCAACTTTGTACCCTTGGACCAACATCTCCCTCTCCCCCAAGACACCCACCGCTGGTCCCACCATTCCACTCTCTATTCCTCTGTACTCAACACTTTTAGGTTCAACATATCAGTGAAATCACATATCAGTGAAATCATATCAGTGAAATCTGTTTTGTGTCTAGCTTGTTCCAGATGGCATCATGTCCTCACGGCTCATCCATGTCGTTGCAAATGGCAGGATCTCCTTCCTTTGTGAAGGCTGAATAATATTCCATTGTCCATCTATACACCACAGTTTTGTATCCACTCATTGGCTCATGACACTTAGGTTGCTTCCACATCTTGACTACTGTGTTAGTGCTGCACTCAGCATAGGCACACAGATGTCTCTTTGCCATACTAACTTCACTTCCTTTGCATATATACCTGGTAGAGGGGTTGCTGGGCGATATAGTGGCTCTATTTTCAGTTTTCTGAGGAACCATTATACTGTTTTTCATATCAGCTGTACCACATAACATCCCCACTGGCAATGCACAAGGGTTTCAATTTCTCCACGTCCTTACCAACACCTATTCTTTCTGAGTTTCTTTGAAAGGAGCCATTCTGATGGGTGTAAAGTGATATCCCATTGTGAAATTATGTTATTTTTGAATTAGAAGAGTAATGAGTGAATATATTCTCATTGTCCATCATTCAAACAATATTGATACAGCTGGAGTCCTATTGATTCACCATCCAATCCCGTTTCCCACTAATAAGCATGAATTCAACAAAGGCTGACGTTGATGCCATGCAGCAGCTAAGCCTGTGAGCCACAACTATGGAGCTTGTGCTCTAGAGCCCACGTGCCACAACTGCTAGGTCTGTGTGCCCAGTGTGCCTTGGAGCCAGTGCTCCGCAACAAGAGAAGCCACTGCAATGAGAAGCCTGTGGATGGCAACTAGAGAGTATCTCCCACTTGCTGCAACTAGAGAAAAGCCCACACAGCAACAAAGACCCAGCGCAGCCAGAAATAAAAATAATTGTCTTCAGGACGCTGGCCTCACTACCACCATAAGTGACCATGAGTGGGGAGAGGGAGGGAACTGGGACAAAGGAGCCAACTAGTGCCCACAGACCCAGGCACCTCCCATAAAATCTCCCCAACTGGGTTGTTTATCCTCCAGGCCCTGTGGGCCCAGGGCCTATGAGCTTTTCAAGAGCTTACAACTATGTCTGAACCCTGGAAATGATTATTGGCTCTAGAATACAGAAAGGAAACCACAAAATGAAGAATAAATGTTTTAATTAAATGCATACAAACAGAGTATTCCAACTCCATGAATTGTTAATTTTAGCGTTCATACAGCATTTCACACATTTGAAAGTAATCTGTGGATTTGATTTCCTCGTTTCTCAAGAATTCCCAATTATGCACAGAGTTTTGGAAGAAAATCAAAGCAAATCACGAATTAAATGAGTTATTCATAGACCACAATTTCAAAAGTATATTTACAAAAATCCTCTCACTACCCCCCCCCCAAATTATATTTAGTGTCGATGAAAATGACACTTCGTGTCGATGGAGTGCATTTTTAATCTGTTTGCAGTGGTGGGGGGTTTAGAGCTGAGTCATGTACCCGGCAAGGCTGGATTGTCTGCAGATGGCCCAGGTGGGTTGTGACTAGTAGGA